ATTCACTAAATTAATTGTTATAAGGTATTAAAAAGAATTTCCGACAAACTAAAGACGGCATTCTGTTTGTTCATGATAATCTTTTACAATTCGGTGTGGATACGAAACCAGTTCGGAAGTGTAAGTGAAATTTTCGTTAATGTAATCGCTTACCGCCATTAACCGTTGAGGCAGCTAATTAAATATTTTGTTGCGCTATAACTTTTGTATATTTATTGGCAAATAATTTGATATCTCAATCTTTTGGAGATTTTAGCATGTCACGTTTAATGTCGGAAGAAAGTTAAAAGTTAAACTTTGACCATTTGGGACTTAAATACTTCGTCATTCATACCGTCATTTACACTAAAAGATTTCATTGCTATTGTCACAAAGAAGACTAAAACTCAACTTCCTACTGAGAACTGCAAAATACAAGAGCCTACGGACTAAAAGTTCAGTGTATGCATTTGATACATTCGCAAAACTGTTGCAAAGAATTGAGGACAAAAATGCAAAATCTTCGGACCAAAATAGACACGAACCAAACAACTTTAGCAATCTTCCTAAATGGTACAAAAACGTGATCATTTGAATAGACGTTAGGCAAAATAACGACTAACGTAATTGCCTAAATTAATTTCAATTTCGCAATACGCAAAAATGTGACAGAGATTATGTTCACACCTCATTTGTATAGTTCAAGGAACGACGACGCAGTGACAACAAGAATGCATGATGATTACCTAAATATACATGTATAAACATCACTTAGAATATTTGATGAATATCAAATTACACGCATAATGGATCTTAGGCTATTTCGAATGAGGTCATAAGTTAAATTAGTTAGTTAATACTGGCTGTTTAGTCTAAAGCCTGTAGAGGCCGATTGTGTAAGAGAAAAGTTTTAAATGCTTTAATACTTTTGCTTGGTTAAATACAGAACATAAACAATATTCTGTACCTAGTTCATTGTGAGTCCATTTATTTTCAAATATTTAATTTACAAGTTAATAGGTGATCGTATAGTGCGTAATATCATATCAAATCCTTTATGCTATGAGAACAAAGTATAATGACGTATTGTTACATAGGTACTTTCCTTATTAAGGAAAAATATGTCATAGACTTTATAAACTTAAAGATACTTTTATTTTCTTTGCAACGACTTTATGGAATGCGGAACGATTCGAATGCTAGGTCTAGTTGATAACCGCTTAAGGGCAATCATACCTTACAAATTATCATTGGTATAATGAATTATGTGAGTAAATTATTTACTTTCAATTACGAATGCGTTCTGATTAAATTATGGCTGATATTTATATAGGTGCGGAATAGTTAATCATTATAATAGTAGTCTTATTTTCTACCTATACTTAAAATACGACTTTAAATAATATGAAACTAGGATTAACTTTATAATTGCCGGTAATTAAGACACAAAAGAACAAACACTGTATCTCGCGAAGATTTGGGTTCCGGCTCGTGTCGGAGCCGGAACCCAAATCTTCGCGAGAAGAAGTCATAATAATTTTTTTTTTTTTAAGGGGAAAAATCATCGAATGACTGCTCCCGCCTGGGTGAGGCGGAAGGGAGTGTTAGACTCTTACTGACTAAAAACCATCCCGTTCCTTCTCCTGCACGTCGAGCCGGAGCCCCGGTTACCCGTTAGGTTCTCCGCGACATCGATAACAGAAAGGGTAATTCGCTTGTTCGCGTCCACTCACTACTTTGCACGGGTGAACAAGTAGGTTCCCAGTATAACCTACTCAAAAAAATTACCATCATGACACCATCAAAGACAGCAATTTCTAAATAGCTTTAAGAGATAAAACGTTTTATTAAATAAAATACCACATAACGCAACGCTATTAGATGCTTAAGCTCATTTTCCGATTTAACCCTTCGGCAGCGATCGCAGATCGGTAAGCGGCGATGCGATGGTGCGATAGCCGATCGAACAAGCCCACAGGATCGAGGCCGGCAATTTGCGTGGCACCGCGCCGCCAGTAAATCAAATTAAACGCCACCTACCACTCGATACGATACTTGTTATCCGATATAAGCAGCTTTAGGGTTGACTAACATTACGGTGGTATAAAAATTTTGACACGGAGTGTTGAATACAGTAAAAATTGTATATTTTTCTATATTTAAACGTAACCATAACCTATTTCAAACTAACTTATTATTGTAGTTTCGAATATTGATTGACAAAAGTTAATGGTTTGATTGACTTTGCGAAATTCAGCTGGTATGTTTCAGATAAAATTAAGATGGAGTAGGTACAAAGTACCAAATTATGAATATCAATTTGAAAATGTCAATAGCAAAATTCTGTGTATAATTATATTATTACGAGGACCAGCTAATCTTGTAGCATCCGTAGTAGGTACGATCATAATCAACTTTAGCCTTTCGAACAGCTGGCTCAAGGATGTAGCCAATTTAAACTTAGTCAGATCCACAATTCTAGACTTTAAAAGATCGTGTTCGAAGATAAAATTAACATTTCTATTAGTTTGGCCAAAATACCAACATTATGACATCATGATTAATGTCATAAAGTATTATTAGATTAATATTTAAATGTTGCCGTAATATTTGCTACATATTTTTTTAATTTGTTAAAGGTAATCTGATTAGCGCTGAGCTGAATGAAAGGATGACCTCTCCGTAACATTGATATAGAATTAATAGAAACCAACAAAACAGAAGAACGAAATAGGTGATTGGCGATGACATGACGGAAAACCACAATAACGAAGCTTTAATTAACTCAAATTTCAAAAAACTTAAGCCAGAACAGACAAAATAAGGATCAAATTTCTACACATAGCTGTCAGCCCTAGTAACACAGCGATGTATTGTGAAAGTAGTCCGAGGGTGCAGGTGGCTGGAGGCGGAGCCGCGCCTCATCTGTCTAAACAACACCTTCCAATCACTGCCTGTCCATCTCCAACTGATAATGTTAACGTGCAAGCTTAGGATGTAATATTGCGTGAGAATACTAGTTTAACTAAAGATGATGACGAAAACACTAGTAGATACGCATTAGATATTAATTCAAGTTATTTCAATGCTGCAGTAGAAAGACTCTTATTCAGAAATGAAGGTCATGAGCCAAAATGACAATTTACATTGTCTCCATAATTTAGCATCAATGGTTTCATAACTTCTACTAGTTAATACAATATTATGAGATCAAACCAAACAGACCTAGCTATAAATAAAATCCATTGTACGATAAAAACGTAGTTCAAGTTCAAAGAAAAATATCACAACGGCTCTTCCTTTCACGTATTTAGACTAAAAGTAAAATCCAATAAAGATGGATTACTAGAAGAAGATAGAAGATAACAAACAACTCTTTAAGGCTAGAGAGAAGATATCAGATTCCAAACCAAAGACAACAATTAACACCAAGTTAATCTTCTATAACACGATCAGATCATTACACAGATAACAACGTCAACAACTTATATAACGTAATAATAATTAAACTTTAAAATGATGGGAACAAGGAACATAATCAAGATTTATTATGAAAACTCCATGCAATGTTATGGAGTTCGTTTTGATGTTATTAAAATTCCTCTCGACAATTTAAAAAGAAATACTTTTGCGTCATTGTCAGTTTTGAATACAATACAGAGAAAATGTATACGGAAGCTGGTTTGGACAGTTGATTATTTTCGTGTTTTAATGTAAATGTTTTCAACTGTGTATTAAAAATACAGTAGCTTTGTCTCACAATGTATCTTTGCTTAAGTTTGTGTATTTTGTCATGTATTGAGTGTGGAATTAAGTAAGATAGTATTAAAATGTATGCAACCTGTTTAGTGGATTATTTCTCGAATATTCATAGTTTTAAAAATATCACAGAACTAAATGATGTATTAATGTAGGTCAAATAAATAATTATCTAATTTATTAATAAAATCAATATAATGCAGCTCAGCTGCGGCGTTCGCGCTAAACGAAATTATAGACTATTTACAAACCCTGACGTCATCATTATTAGTTTCTTAAACAGATTCTTATCAAGTTCAAAGCAATTAATATCACAAGATAAAATAAACTACATTTTCTCAGTAAAAAACTCCGCGTAGGAAAACTACATAATTATTTACATTGGTCATGGCAGCAGACTTCTAAGAATATTAATAAAAAACCCGATATTGTGTTACATACATTTCAACGAAAGCTTCTCAGTAGAATCCTTATCCTTATCCTTATAAATCGGAAAGTGAGTTTGTTTGTTTGTTTGTTTGTTCCACTTTCACGCCGTAACTACTAAACCGATTGCTTTGAATTTTTGCAGACGTAAAGTTAGAAGTCTGGATTAAATAATAGGATACTTTTTATCCCGGAAAAATATGATGTTCTCGAGGGAAAACAAAATTATTGGTATAGATGGCGCTGTGTGTATTGGTATATGTCACATGGGCTACTTTTTATCCTTTTGTGACACGAGCGAAGCCGCGGGTAAAAGCTAGTCTAATATAAAACGACCCGAGCAACTGAGGTAATCTAACTTGGAAGTATTATCGGTTAAATCAAGACCCAGGTTACCAAAATAAAATAACTTTGAGGAGTGATATCATCACTATGATTATAGTGTATACTAAATTAGCAACTTAAAAAGCAATAAACATTAATGGACCAAATTATGCTAAGCTGAAGAAAGTGAATCTTAATGATTCTGAACTTGTGTGTCTGTGTAATTTTAGTGATTATTCGGTTAGAGGTAATTCTACTAATAGTTTACTAAAACCAAAAGGTATGATGAAATGACTACCTAATGATATTAAGGCAAGAAGCCTATACAAAAGGTAAAAATATAGAACATAAGAAATCGAAACAGGGTTACTGTCTAAAAAGTTCAGTTTATCAAAGAGCACTGCTACGCGCACTTTACAGTCCTATAGTCTTACGATATCCGCCTAAAGAATAAGGACATGTCTGCCCTCATTATATATTAATATATACCAGTCCATATAAATAGTACTTACCACGAGTTCCGCAAACTTGGCGTCGAGTTCATCTTCTGGTGGCATTGGATGTGTGGGGGTGACTGCCTGTAGGGCCAACCCGCCTTCGCCCCCAACCACACAGTACGTGATCTCTGGAGGCTCGTCATTCTGAAACAAATTGAAGAAAATGCAATTAATATGATGTTTACAAAAGTGCTGAGAGGTTAGAAATACAAAGTAGGAAAAATGGTAAATATTCCGTTCTTAGTTGCACTACGATAGCAGTAACAACGTAACATTGAAAAAGTTCTAATTAGCATGAGACGTTAAAAAATCAAGGTATAAGTATTTTCATAGTTGATTAAAATATCCTAGAAACGATATCGTTAAATTGAAATATTCTTGAATGAGGAAAATTTAATGAAATAAAAAAGTAGAAAATAAAACAAAACAATAAATATAGCAAATTTCAATTGCTTTACAATTACAACGAAAAGAAAACCTTTCAATGATTGTAATTAAATAAAATTAAAAAATGTCTACGACAGATCGCATTACAAGGTTCAATGAACTAAAAACATCATTAGACGCAGTGTAGTCGACGGCTGCAATATTATTTCGAAATAAACCAATTAACTTTGCAGTGCCAAATAAACCAATTAAGTACATTTAGGACTTAACAAAGTATATTTAAATGGGTGACAAATCTAATAATAAGCAATGTAACCTTTACTAACTCAAGAACAGGTCCTCTCATAAATGCTAAGTAATTCAAAACTGGCCACGAAAATATGAATATTTTGACTATGTAGGCCAAAAGATAGCATCGATCAAAAATTCCGACGTATAAACCTTTTACGAAAATCCTTGGAGCCAAGATTTATTAGCAATCAAAGTGTCTCTTACTTATAATAAATTATAGTTCCAAGAACGTAATAACTGAAGATAAAGGCCTATTAACGTAAACGGTGAACTATGGCTAGCACAATTTGAAAGGAACGGCTAGAACCACTTCAAAGAAATAGATACTATGGAGGAGAAAATACATCCATGTTTAGTTGACTTCAAACAAATTCAATACATCAACGACAACAAACATAAAACAAGACGTGAATACGACACCAAATTAAAACAACACAACTTATCAATCATCGGCCGACAAGCGAGGATAAAAACATAAGAACGTCGCACTCAATCCAAAACACATTTCGGGCACGTGTCCACAAAAAAACAAAACATGGAAACGAACTTTCTACATACAATAACTCATTTCCATTTCAACATCTCCCCAATTTAAGGAAGCCATAAATAAAATTACTGCAATCAATACCTAATTATCCGAAAAATATTCTGCTTGCAATAAGAAAATTTTCCCAGTAAGACATAAATCAACGTGAGGACATAATCTGTTTGCGAATACTTCTTGAGAAACGAGAAAAAACTCAATTTAAATCGTCGAGGTTAAAAATAAAATGAGGAAGACATTGGTTCCTTCCTTTAAAGGGAGAGTCGACAAATGTGGCGAATGAGGAAGTGCGCACGAACGGACAAGAAAAACTTCGCGTACCACAGTATAATCGCCTGAACGCAAACCTATTACAATAATAGGAATGTAATTACTACTAAACACATGATTCGACGATTTGCGTCATTTAGGAGCGTCTTTTCCTTTCTTTATCGCTTGAACCGGTTATTACTGTAATTATTTAAACTTCTTTCTAATAATACCATCTGATAGTTCCTATATAAACTCCTAAATTGAAATAGCACTAAGATTTCTAACTATATTACATGTACCATCACCGTCATTCCATTTATTTCATGTTTCTGATTTTCATCAAAATGTATTGTTTATTTTTTCGCATTGTTATTTTTAATGCAATGTATCTCTGTTTCTAGAATTTTTGACTCGCCTAATAGTAATAAAAATCTATTATTTCTAAAAGTTCTTTCTTCTATCGTTTACTTTCAATTAGACGACATGTTTGTGATCGATTAGCAAATCAAGCACCTGCTTTACTCAAATCGTTTGGGCGTCTCATCTATACTGGCTAATAAATGTAAATAAAGCTTTCAATTTGCTCACGTCTCCGTGACAACATACAACCAGATAACACCATGTACACACGTCCACACACGAGCGTGCTAAAAGCGCTTCTGACTCAGAGTGACCTTTTGCCGGCGCTTGCACATTTCTACGAAGTGTCGCCCGATGTCTCGCGAATCCATTGACATAATGAATAGGGCTGTGCGGAGAAAGTATTATAAATTAACTGTTAATTTCTGAAAATTATTTATAATGTTTCTTGTAGTCATTAATTATTACATTTTGTGAGTGTGGGCAGTTTAAAATGAAACATCTACAGGCTTTGTTTCGAAAACAGCGTTGGGTCAATAGAAGGCTATACGTTTCATTTGCTCATTGAAATAGAATTATATTAAAGAGTATTTTAAAGAAAATAAGCTACTCAAAATATAGATCCAAGTTAAGGCACAAAGGGGCCTAAAAACAGAATCATCTGACTACAAGTTTACAGCAACAACACAATAAAAGAAACAGATTTATTATCCCTAAAACCATAAAACTAACAAAACCAAGCCAACATCACTCCCCTAAGAATATTAATAAAAAATAAGTAACTGCTTAAATAAGATAAATCCTTGCCGTATTTTCTGGTTAAAGTAGCCCACAATTTGCTAAGCTTAACGAAGGGGAACGAATAGCGGTGATGTCAGAGTTTGCACCCTCACCCTGTTTATACAGTCTTATACTAGACATCGTCACCGTCGCCATCTTAGAACTGTTATTCGGAACGTGTCTCCGGGCTACACGAGCCGTGTCAGACGAATTCACGACACTATCTAAACGTTTTATGGTAAGATGTGATGAAACAGGTCTTGAACCTAAATTTTCTACATGCTTGAAGTGACTCTTAATGCTTGGAGTGACTCTAAAGTCTGTATTGTATTTTGATAGAACTCTATGGTTAGTTAAAACATAACATAACATCACGCCTTTTATCCCCGAAGTGGTAGGCAGAGGTGCACATTATGCCACTGTACAATGTAACACCCACTTTTCACTATTTATGTTATGAATCCCATATAATAGGGGGTGAGCCTATTGCCATATACCGGGCTTAATTCTAGACTCCGTGCTACTACTGAGATTTTTTTTAAAACCCAGTAATACTTTGACGACCCGGGAATCGTACCCGAGACCCCTTGCCCGGCAGTCGCACTTGCAACCTCTCGACCAACGAGGCAGTGGTTAGTTAAAATGAATCCTATAATCTAAATTGATATCAGTGGCATGTGAATATAGACAGTAAGGATACATATGGATACGGCTTGTTTTTAAATTTGATGCGTAGGTACTTTATCAAGCATAATATGAAGGTCTGCACACAATTTGCAAAGATAAGATAACAACACAATATTTCTTAAACAGAAAATATGCTTTGCTTTGAAGGTTTTGCTATCCTGTTCGACAAACATAAAAAACAATTAGAAAAAAGGTCACAACAAACCTAGATATGTATCAAGATCATTAGGAACACTAATTAGGAAGTTTCAATGCAAATTCGATTCTAATTCAGTACACAGAAAGTACACTACTGCAAACTACAATTAATTATGTATTCCCTAAGTACTATTTACTTAATTAACATTAATAGTAAAAAGTACTGACTGCATATAAAACTAACCTTCCAGTTTAAGTTGACCTCCCATTGCCAACAAAATGTACTGAAGACAAGGTCAACTTTATAGTGGGGGTATAGTTTATCGTGCTGACAAACAGATGAAAAGGTAAATAACATTTAGATATCACACAATGAGGTCACGACCATTGTAGCTAAATATTTGTTTAACGTAGAACAATGGAAAAGAACCATTAAGAGCTAATTATTTAATATTTAATTAGGAATTATGAGCCTTATTGCGCATCCTATTATGACTGTTTGTTTTCTAAGACAGAATAAAATATTATTAATAAAATGCATATTCAGTTTGATTTATATCTAATGAATGAATAATTAAAACTGCATTACCTTGTTAACTTAAATAAAATGATAATTTGCATTTTATTAAAGTGTTAATTGAGTTTAGGATTAACGTTATTATGTTCTCTTTCCGTATAATAATCAAGACGGTAGCATCTAATTTTTAATATCTATTAATTTAATATTTTAAGAGAACGCGTGCAAGTTTATAGTTTCATTTCAAAAACAGCTAAACACATTTCGATGACTTGGATTAACATAAATTGTCTGTAAGGTAAATGATACTTTATATATGTATTTAAAATTTAATTAATTTTTTCTTCAATATATCGATATTCATTAGTATTATGTGGGTCATGGAACGGAAAAGGATGCACGGCTTCAACTATACTGTTTTTGCTATACAAATACTAGTTTTACTCTCCACTCATTTAAAAAGTAATTATTACTATCTTATCTGAACTTTCTAACTAATTTCCGTATGTAATAATCTCCTTAAAAGCGTTTCTCTTTAATTTCATTAAATATCTACACAACCCCATAACATCATCATGGCGTACAATTATTTCCTACATTGTAAAGAAACTTTATATCAAAAAAGATCTCGAATTCCCATAAACATACTGAGAGAAGTACTTGAAACAACTGACGTCATCCATCCAAATAGTGACTCATGCAAAACTCACAGCATAGCGGCCATATTTTTTTAACACACGCCATCTTAAAAAACCGGCGCGATAACCCTACAACCCTTTACAATGAACAAGAAGTTCCTATTTCTGTCGATGATTTCATCCACTCAACTGCAAAGTTATTTGCAGGGCCAACATTAACTTTGCAAGAATTAAGATGTTTACAATGAAGACCTTTTTTGTTTTTCAAAAGAGAGCTAGTGGCTACTTCCCGTGATATGTAATTAAATATGGCGCGAACTAGTTGGATGAAGCTGGATGGTTGTATGGACCAAACGGTTTACAAAGGATGTAAAGAAAATTTCCAACACCTCCAGAAAACCGAAGAACACTGGGACAGTTAGATTTGGCAATGGCATCGTAATAATGATTATAAGGGCCCTCGCCCACGACGACTTTTTAAACAGCGATAGCGATGCTATCGTGCGTATACTAATAGCGCGACAGAATCACTCACATAGTACACATATGC